ATCTCTGGACATGATTTTTCATGAAAAGCACAGATTTTCAAGATTTACCAAAATGAGAAACTTTGTATCCCGTTTCCATGGCAACCAAGATTATAATTAAAAAACTATTTATAGTTTTAATAATCACTCACACATCTGTATTAAATTATGATAGAAAAATCAAAATCTGTAACTATGCGTGGCCAACCAATTTTGATAATTACAGAGAATTGGTCTTAAGAAGTGCCCAACGTATAGATTGTCAATTACTGATATTCTACATGTTCTCATGTTAAACACTTCAGACATTCTATCCACTAGAGACTCGGATTATAAAAGTAAGTAAGGCTGAAACAAGAGCTGAATTTCAAAGCCAAATCTAAATGAGAAGTCCTGATCTTATCACATAAAGAGATTACTGCAGTCTGAAGTATAGAACAATTACTACAAATCATCAAAGTTAAGATATTATAAATCTGTCAATAATTTTACAAACAATTGTAAATAATGTTTCACCAAAACCATAGGGAAAGGCTAAATTCAAAAGGAGAATTATCATGTATCCATAAATGAAATGTTACTTTTTATTCTATTTATATGAAATGAAATATTGATTTTCATAATTTCTAAAACTGCACTGTTCAGAATAATAGGTTTTGAAAAGATTTCATGATAATAAAAATCACCCATGTTCACGACACCTCATATCAGTCAGAAAGCCTGATCATAATCGTTATAAAAGTTTTGCTAGCTAAAGTTATCGTCGTAGAGTGTATATATTACTTGACATTACAAATAAAAAATGCAAGAATGAAATTAAACACGCAAAATGAATCGACAATTCTTTTGTATAATCCATTGGCACTTCACAGAAGTGCATTTTATACAAGGATATGTTCATTTAACTAATAAGCCGATGATTGTCCTTCTAAACATTTCCATAGTTGCTAAATCATTTTACATTCTTACCATATTCAAACAAACAAAAAAGAAACATGAGCCTTTTATAGGAGGTGATGAATTATTTTGACAAACTTCCTGGAAACTTCAGTATCATTTTATCTTTACAAGAACGCAGTTCTGAAAGACAATTAATAAACTCAATTTACATAACAAAAATCTGTCCATCCTTGCTGATTGTTTAACAAAAAAAACCCCAAAAGAATTAGTGTTTATAATAGGGATTATGCATAGCACTGCATCACAGTAGCAGGTTATTTCACTTAGGGAATATTCATAGCATTGCATCACAGTAGCAGGTTATTTCATATGTTATCAATCTACTTGAGTTTCGGATATCTTTTTCTTTTAAAAAACGCATTTTCAAAGACATTGCATAACAATATTAATAAGAAAAATATCCGTCTTTGCTAATTGTTTTAAAATGACAAAGACGCAGTATAAACAGCAAGGGATATGCATAGTAAATGAGTTATTATTCCGCACAGGCAATAAAAACAATAAACAAAAGAAATAAAGAACACTTGTGCCTTAGTGTGATTGACCTAAATAAGAATACCCCGAGAAACGGACGTGATATTTTTCCTCTACACTATCATGCATCTGCATTTCATTCAAAGGCTTCTTTATTTACATTTTTGTTTTGTTCCAAAAACAGGGAAATAGGATTCTAATATTAAATATTTAAATAAATCCTTTGTTGTTCTTCATTCAATTGCATAATTATGTTTGTGACCTTGTATTCATTTGCTTTAGTTGGCGCCTTTTTGTGTGTTTAATTTCTGTTTTCAGTTTGTGGAGAATAGCCTAAAACAATAAAATCTTAAAAACTATAAAAGGACAACATCTTAATGACTAAATTGTACATGTTTAATAACTTCATTATTGATAATATATATGTACCCTTTTTGAGAAGATTTTTAAAAAAAGCAAGATTCTTTTATCAAGTAAAAAAAATTACATATTTATTTGTTCAGCGACTATGCAAATTACTACCAAAACTAATAACTTAACTTTAATAATAACTGTATTGCCGTGCGTGCTATAATTTCATTAATCTTTTTGAAAGTCTTTTCATTATTTAATGTGGCACTATATGTTTTCTTGATAATAATTTTTGGGCAGAAAAGTACAGTAGCATCATGACATGCGTCTCAATTCTTATACCAAACAAGAGTGGGGTCAGGACTGTCAGAAGATATTGCTTCCGTAAATATTTTTCAAATGACATGTTCAAATTTCACAAGGTCTAATTCTATAAAATACAAATTTATATTTTGTTTAATTTCTTTCATTACTTTACTTAATACAATGTTAAAAGCATTTCGAATGAATTTTTAATATGGTGAATAAATATATCTGCATTTTAAAGTTGTGCCCCAATAAATACTTAAAATGCATTTAATGAAACTACGACTTCAATAAAATTGTTAAATAACAGTTTCATTGAAAAATATATAGTTGTGGAATCCAAAATAAAATTATTTATTCACATAATTATATAGATATAATGATTCAATATGCAGAATTATTATTAGAGAATAATTTAATTGTTCCTTTGTTTTTGTTAGCACTGGAAAAATGAAAGAAACCAATCCAATTTTTCACTGTATCAACTACATACTTGAATGATGATTATTCACTGTAATCATTTTAGAAATAATCATTTAAGAAATTTCTTTTCTAAATGAAGCAAAATAGTTTCTTTGGACTTAAATTTTGGGGAAAAAAAATGAGGCAGGGCACATTATAATGCAGGGGTTATCTTTCTTATCTATGTTTTCTGTCTTTGAAATTGCCCCAATCCGGGGGAAATTAACCCCTTCAACATACTTATTATTTGTTTTATGAATTTATTATTTTGTTGCGTTTCTAATTTATCAGTCAGAAAAAATATTTTGTAAAGTTCTTTGATACATGTACTTTTGAACATCTTTGATTATTTTGATGTACAAGGAAAGGTTTTTTTTTTTTGTACTTTAAGGATACACCAAAGGCTTTTTTCAAGATTTTTGTCAATTTTGAGATTTTTGGCTATGAAAATACTGCTAATCACTGCTTTATAATGCATGAAAAATTCTTGCTGATTATTAAATGGTTTTATAATAATTTAACAATGTGCCGTTATTGAAGTTTCTGATTTGATCTGTAACTTCTCGCTCATGAAAGATGCAATAAATCACTGTGACCACTTGGGGAATTCTTCACTAGTCACACAGAGGTTACCAGTAATTAAACTATAGGGACTCTAGATTTAGGGAAGGAAATACAACAGGTCACCAATGACAATGAAACAGGAGGTGGGCCTTAGTTTTTGTCATTTTGCCAGGAAACCTTTCTTATTTACTTAATTAAAAGAACCTAAATATAGAAAAGAACATCCCATTCTTGTAATTATTTTACTTAATTAAAAGCACCTAAATATAGAAAAGAACCCCCATTCGTGTAATTTAAAATAAGCATAGGAAATATGGATAAGTGACAACTATCCAAAGCTTACTCGCCATGGTGTCATATATTTCTAGCTTTGGCAGAATTTGTTGTGTAACAGGTTTTTGCCCTCTACTGTAAAGTAAAATCAGACAGTTGGTGGTATTATTTCAAAGGACTCAGCTTCCTTATATATTGACCTTTTTTGAAAACTGGCTAGATTGCTTCTCAAATGTATGTTCACAAATTTGTATCTCAGATTTTTGATATTTTGCTTAGTTCTCGAATTATTGGGGAAATGTAGAATTAGTCTAATAAATTGGTAACATTGAAGGACAAATGGATGTAACTTTTTAATTAGAAGATTTATTTTTAAGTTCAGTCCTTTTCCTACCTTCTACAATACTTTGAGATGTGGAAAACAAAAAAGGTTGATTTATAAAATATAAATGCACTTATATTTACATTAAATATTAATAATTTTAAATTAGATAAAAAATGAAAGTTTAAATTAGGATCATTAATTAGTAAATTTAACAAGCTTTTAAATGATATCAATACATTTTTAATATGTTATCTTTGATAATGAAAGAATTGCAAGCAAATTAAATTTTGCCCTTTGGAAACCTTTGGTGTATCCTCAACATAAAACACTCTGTTGGATAACTGAAATGCTTCGTTTTTACAGATGCTTGTTTTTCTAAATATTTTGACAGATTTTTCTGTCCTTTAGTTACATACATGTGAAGCAATACATCTTAAACTCCTGCATAAAGGATATATACATGTATCTTCCTATGATTCGATATACAAGAGCATATTGTACAACTGCTCTCATATAGAAAATGCTCTTATTCTATAAATAAAACAATTGACAATAGGAATGCTGAAATCATGTTCATCACCATATTTTGTTGTTAAATTACCATTAGAGATTTTTTTTTTGTTTTTTCTTATAAAATATCCCAAATGTGTAAGATTCAGTGGTATCTTATCTCGAGTTCAAGGGGATACATAGAATCAACGTATGAATATTGATGTCAAAAGAATATTGTTACATGTAATTAATAAAACATCATCCAATATATTTAAATATCGAATTGGATGCCATAACATGGGACTCTTATCATTAAGAATTTACAGTCAGAAGGAAAAATACCATTATTTATAATTTATATAGTAATTTTTTTTAACATTTGTTGATTATTTGGACCCAGTGTGGTAGTAGGTAAATGCTATGTTGAAAATATATACGTGCATACTATATAGTATTTTTCAGCATTTAAAATCTAGCAAGGAAGTTGTGGAAACGATTACTTTTATTTTACCATAAGTTCTCTTTAAACATTATCAATGTCGAATGTTTGTCTACCCATGACCTAGGTTTTCTTACAAAAGATGACCTATCTTTTTAAAAAGTCGTCTTTCTTAATACATGTAAACGTACATTATACGTATTAGGCAAACGGCAATTAAGCAATCACTGAACCAGTAATTTTTTGTAATCATTGCATCTTCCCTTAACTTGAATCTGAATTGAGCATTTAAGGAAGTGTTAAAGATAACAACAATTTGTTTTTTTTACATTTAGAATTTAATTTCAGCTGGATAAGTCGATTAGAACAAAACAATTAGTGCATCTTCCATCCAGAAAATGAGGTAAATTTCTCTCTTGCATATGCAGCTCCATATCCGGAAGCAATGTTGACTTTGTCACCTTTCTTCAGTCGAATAAGAACTGTATTAGAGCCGCTACTCCAAAATCTCTGTGACGTGGCGGAGTTGTTGAATGCTGTGAATCCTTTATACTGACCATTAACCCTAAGGAGAGGATGAGCCATTTTATTTGGCTCGGTTAATGTTGCCCATGTAAACCCATATGTCCCGTCAGAAGGTGCAGTAAAGATTCCTGTTGTCCTCTCATATGAACTCCCGTCGTTAACGAGGACTGTATCATATATCCATGTTTCGTGTTCTTTGTAACTTTTAGCAGTTGATTGATAAGCCGAAAATGCAACACTGCCTTTAAAAAGAATGTAGAAAGAGATAAGTAAATTCATATGTACAGAACACTTTGAAATATTTAATTTTTGTAGGAATTCAATTTTCGTTGTTTTCAATGTATGGAGAGACCCACAATTCATGACCACGCGGAAAGGTAAAATTTCATGCTTTAATACTAAACATACGAAATCAAATCCCAACAAACCAGTATTATTTTCCTAAACCTCGAGCATTTGACCCTACGAAAATATTTGATTTTATAGTTTAGGTTTCGGTTCAATTCTTCTTCATCTTTTAACAAAATTTTATCTTCGCTAGCCAAGAGTTTCTGATACGCTACTCTCCTCATAAACCCTTGGCATACGGTGCTGTGAGAAGAAGGGATTGTTTTTGTCATGTGATCTCGAATTTGAACAGGTACACTCAATTTTTTTCTAAAAAATTATGAAAGTTTTTGAAGAATAATTAACAAGAAGTTATTTAATTTTAAAGTGCAAATCTTCATTCTCGAACGTAAAGAGTCAAAATATGTCCTGAACGCAGATATTATTACAAAATAATTGCTGATTTGTCGATCGATGTTAATCAACCCAAATCACAGCTTGAGAAAAAAATTTTTAACACCGTATGCCAATTTTTTTTATGATGAGAGTAGAGCATCAGAAACCCTTGGCTAGCAAAGATGTCTAAAAAGAGATTATACATATTATGTTTTTATCACATATTATAAAGCAGATCTTTATAATTATCCCGTGGATACAACTTATTGGATATCGTTCTCGTATCTACACTATGTATTCCTACACCGCGTGACTATGTAAATAAACAAATTTATGTCTTCTAATGCTTATAGGCAAGATCACCGCAGCTTGTTTTTGCTAATTTTGTAAAGTCAAATAAAACACTTTGATGTTGATGAAAAATGTCATTTATTAAAATGACGGTATAAATGTGAACAATTTAACAAACAAGAAGGGGGATCAGATTCACAAGCTTTGCTTATCAGTTACGTAAAATATGATAATGTCTGATCCCCCAAAACTGACTATAAAAAAGTATCTGTAAGACAAGACAATCAAAACATCATATTAAAAAGTTAGCAAATAGATGGCACATCAAAATAAAATAAACAGTTATGATAAATAACGCTGCTTCATTAGTTAGTCTATTGATTTAATTTTTCTATTTCAGAGACCTTTTTGACATACATATTATTTAAGTTTATTCTTCTTTAGATGCATTATATAATTTTGCAATCCTTGTCTACTCTTTTTTTACATATCCTTTCATAAGAAAACGTATTCACCATCTTAAAGCAAGTGAATTACTTTATTTGAATTGCTACACTTTGCATTGAAACGTATTATAAGTATAATAAAGGGTAAATAGAAAATTAAACCAGAAACTAGTCACAACTAGAAGAAATAACGTAAATGAAAGTAAAGACGAACGACAATTAATTTTTTTTTTGCTGACATCCTAAATCAATAAGATATTCAGTATAATAAAATAAATGGTGCCCGAGTTGAAATTGACACCCCTTGGTAAACCAGTGTCAACCTCTGCTGAAGCGTCGGTTGACAATGGTTTTCCTTGGGTGTCGATTTCAACTGTGTCCCTCCAAAACAGGCATCATTTATATATTATCAGTTTGTCTTGCTCAAATATTACACATAATTTTTTTTAAACGTTAAACTGACTTTCTAACAGCTTTGTGGGCTTTATATCTAAAGATAGCATCAACTGCAAGTTCCAGGTACAGCATAAACAAAAATACTTATGATATGCACAATAAATTGATTACATACTAAGCTGCAAACAAAATCATACATGTATAATATTCAGACAATATCAATTATAAAAATTACATGGTTGCCGCTTATATGACAAGAAGTTTTGTTGATAAATTTGAGTGCATGGACCTCGTGTAGACCTCGTGTAGACTACTGGATATACCGTTATACAAAGAAAATTAAAGTAAAGAAAGATTGACATAAACTTTCCGGATTGATCGGGTGTTGTAACATTACAGTGACCTTTTGACCTTGACTGTGATCTATATCCTGAAAGTATTATTTTGGAACTTTCTCAGCTATGTTAAGGAGGGCCAGAGTTCACATTCCTTGCACACTGTATTGGAAGTTAAATTGTGACGTCATTGAAATTTAACAAGTCACATAAATTAATTAACGACATGATCATGCGTAAATAACAACTTGAATTTATTTATTTTATCGATTATTTATAAAATTGCAATACTTGATAGCAAGACAGTCAAGAAATAGAAGAAAGTCTGTCGTCGAATATGACGTCATCAGCCTTGACATGACGCAGCACATGTGATCTAGAGGACTAGATTCACTGGTTTTATAATTTCAAGAATGCTTAAATAAGTATAATACCATGGCTAATTTTTAAACCTTATCATTAAAACTAAAAGAAAATACTTTATTAAATAAAATGTATATAGAATATAAATTTATCTAGCAGCAATGGAACTACACAGGGACAAGGAATGTAGAGAATATCGCTAAAACGATGAGCGTATTTGTGATTTACATCAAAAGTGCAAGGGCAAAGACTATTTTGTTTGAGCTGAAATAATGGAATATTTATTAATTACATCGTGTATATTTTGAAAAGTGCTGGAGCTGATCCTGGTCTGCCCAACGTTTTTTTTATTTATAAAAGAATTTAAGCAAAGTGGAAATTTTTAGCTATTATAAGCATTTTCGGCAAAATTTTCAGTACTTCGTTAACAGCACTGACTAGCTCCTAGCACGTTTAGGTAGAGGAAATACACATTTTTTAATGTGTATCAATTTTTTTTTTCTTGAAAAACAGTCGTATGCCCTTGCACTATCCCTATTTCCAACATTCAGCTTGACAATTCTATTTTATACAATTCACGTGACTAACAGCTGATACGTGCAATATAACTGGTAATAACTACGGCCAAATCCTGTCCATTATTAATATCGATATTACATTTTCTACAAGTTTTCAGTTGATTTGTTATAACTTTTAAAAGAAGTAATACATATTAAAACGGTGCAAAGGTAACATTTTCCATATCGGTCCTTAACATAGCTGAGGCATTGCCGCCGGGTGTTTCTCAAACACATCTTGTTATCGAAGAATTGTATGTTGCATAAATTAACTTGCATTTTGACGGCGGTTTTGTTCATATTATTAGAAAGTACTATAATGATATATTTATTCTTAAAGGAAAAACGCCACTGAATTAAAAAAAATACATGATCTAAAGTGTGCATCAAATAAGACATCCAAAAGCAGGAAACATTACGAGTTTCCCTTTCAAAAACTTATTTCTCGGTAAAGTGGAGATAATGTATATAAATCTTATCTTCTGTTTTCGCTAGCAAAAAATAACAACCATATCAGCAACCAAGCTTATAAATGATGCTCTACGTTATAACACTCAACAAAAGGTAAATTTTAAATCATATTTCTTAATACTTTTTTTGTAAAATTTGGTTTCTTATCCTTATTATTTTTGATAAATAGTAATGTTCCATTTCTCTCATTTAAATTTATTTTTAACAGTTTGTTATGAATTGGTGATTTATATGAAAGAAGATTTCCAATCCCGTGCAGACACATCCAAACCCTTGATAAGAAAGTCATCAGAAATGAATCAGGAAACGGCACAGTATTCCAATAGAACGTTTTTATTCTCAATGCTGTCTCTAACGAATGAAACTACAACGAAAAGCTGGAACAAATCAAAGAACGTCTCCGACAAACTCTTTCACACTAACAATTTTCAAAACCATTCCTCTTTTTCATTCTTTCTGTTTAATTTAAAAACTATTGCAGAGACCTCGGAAGGATATGAGAAATCAATCACGATCCTCACAATTATTATCGGATTACTGGGGTTCATAGGGAATATTGTGACTATCTTAAAAATTTTATGCGACAAACAGTTTCATACTCCAACATTTATTCCCATCGGATGCCTTGCATTGCCAGATACTCTAAATATCATGATTATTTTTGTACGAAAATTTTCCAATTTGGTAAATTATGTTCAGTTTCAGCATGATTATAAGGAGAATATTTTCGAGTTTTTAACTTATTTTTTTCTAACCGAAACTTTTTATTCATGTTCAACTGGACATATTCTGTTCCTTACTTTGATCAGATATTTGTTAATAGTCCATCCGTTACAGAGCAAGATGAGACTAACTGTGTCGATTGTCATGACATGTTCTGTAATGATTTGGATATATTCATCACTTTTGACAGCTTTCATATTAATAATGATAACAACAATTTATAAAGATCCAATTGATCGTTCTAAAATGGTTATTACCACATTAAATTTTGTTAGTATTTTAAGGAGCTTACTTGCTTTCTGTGCAATCATTATTATACATATCAAAAAGGTGAAGGCTCTAAAAATGTCTTCCGTTACAAACAACATCCTTAGAAGAATGAATGTTATTATTTGCATTATACTATCAGTTTATGTTTTCTCTCTTATTCCATTAACGGTATATACGTGTTATTCATTATATGGGATTTTTACGGATAGTCCTTTATCATTTACCTTTGTTTATTACGCATTTAATATTGATATACTTTTAGGAATCCTTAATTTCTCTTGTAATCCTTATATAATTTTCTTGGCTTCATGTATCATTTCATAAGCAGATGTTATCAAGATTCTTGAAGGAAATGCGTTTTTCAACATAATAATAGTAATTTGCTTTTAAATTTTTTTAATAACAAACCTGTATATCTATTTTACACACACAAAAAAAAGATGGAGGACATGTTAAAAGCTGTCTGTAAGCATTTATTTTAATTGTTAG